AATTCGAGACGGTTTTTCGATCATTTTCTTATTGCGCATTATATATTCACCTCTTCACCCGTATATTAGGATGTGGCAGGAGGGCACGGGTGCCTGCTTCCTTGCCTTGTAAAGATTGCGAAGACATATGCGTTCGCCGATGGTACAAACACCAAGTCGAGCTAACTCGCTGTCTGGAGCTGAAATTACGGTGTCAACCTCCACTTTCTCATCACTAAATCTGTCAACTAGAGTTCCCAAATTCAGTTCTCGAGATATGTCATCCATAAATTTAAAAGATAAAAATTACCTGTAAGGTTACGGTTTAGACGAAGGCAGGAAGAAATTGCTCTTGGCGCGTTATCGGTCTGTACGTCATGTATCGTACATGTTGACTGACCATAGCTGCTCGCTGACTACGTGATCAATCTCAACAGTGGGCTCTGGGACCAGTCTCACGAATACGACGCGAACATGTGCTTTGGAGTAGTTTAGATGACCAAATATACTGGCTCAGCAAATACCATGTTTCAAAAGCACCAAAACGTTTAATACACAACAAAACGTCTAACAAGAGATTTAATATCCAACAGGCCAAACTGTTATTTCAGTGCGGGCGAATTCGCGGATATTTCTGGAATACAAATGTCGCGTGATATTTGTACTTGTCTCGCACGTCATTTGTCCTCTACGAAGCAAAGTTGGATAATGCAACTTAATATTATTCAATAGTTAAAGTTGAGAATCACTGAGCTTGTTTCTGAGTTACAGGCAAATCATGCTAAAAGTTAATTGTTTAACCTCCATGAGTGACTAAGACAGAATTTCTCCTTACAATATCAATACAATATCAAGCTGACAAGTGATGAGCACAAAGACAAATGTCAATTAGGGGATTATGGGTTGATCCAACACCAAATTCTCCAATCCAGCATCATTAGAAATGTATGAGAGTCAATAAGGAGAACTGCTACTGAGATCTTGGAAGTGAATGATGGGGGGTGGGGTGGGGGCCCTCAGGTGATCCTTTGGCAAACACCCAAGTTGAAATGATCTCAAATTGTTGGGAATTTTTCAAGTGCCATTTTAATTGAAACAGAAGTAAAAGAATTCAGATCTTGTCATATTTAATGAAAATTTTCTGTTTACCCTCTGGGTGACAGTTATTTTTAACACAGGAAAATGGCTTAGCAAAGCCACTGTGTAGTTTTTACTAGTGATGAATGCATCTTATTTTGTGACAAGTGAGTGATCAAGATTTCTCCCTGAAAAAAGTTCAGCGACCATCTTGGATTTTTATAAATAGAGGAAGGTTGGGGAGAGATGGAAGTTTTTACTGAGGGGGGGATGGCACAAAGGCTAGAGGGGAGGAGGGAGGGTCCCCGTCCCCTGTCCATCCAATCTAACTCTGATTCAAACACAGCAGCCCAGGGAACATTATGAACTTGTAATGGTAACATGCTTTCCCTTATGAGCTGACTACACAGAAAGGCCTCTGAGGATGAGATGAAGTTTTTTTTGGGGGGGAAAAATTACTGAATTGTGATTGGTCAAAATAGAGGGCATTTTTTCTTAATTTTTGTAACTGCTCCAGGAAGTATTACTTGAAAATGATTGGCTAAAAATTGCTTAGCAATGGCTGCTAAGATAAAGAAATTTCTGTTTGTTTTGTAACAATGGCGTCCCGTTTTGCACGAGATCAGTAAGAAAACATTTTGCCCCTAATATTATAAACAAGTATTCACACGGTTCCTCGTAAAATTAAGGATTAATATCACTTGTGTTTTCGGAAGTTGCAGAAATTGCCCTTGTTGCTGCGCGACTCGGGCAATTTCAGCAACTTCCGAAAACACGTGTGATATTAATCCTTAATTTTTCTCAGCCCCATGCGATTACCTATAGTAATGATTATTCCACAAGCGTGCATTGGATTGAGATGATAGATAGCCAACGAGGCGCATAGCGCTGAGTTGGCTATAATCATCTCATATCCAACAAGCGTGAATGGAATAATTGTTTTATTAAAAACGTTAAATTGAATTATAAAAATAATTTCAAGCTGACGCATGTGATTACCATATTTGTAGATTATGGTATATTGGCTCATATACCACAATGGCTAGGCCAATGAAAAGTCTTGAATTGCATTATCCGATGATCCAGTTTTTAATAAATGTAGATATATTATCTTGTTTACCTTGTGGTCCATATGAGACTCCTCCATAAAAACAGCCCACTCTTAGACTGGACTTGAAATAATCAAATTCGCCACCAATCTGTAAAGATGAAGTAAAAAAAAAAAAAGAGAGAGTGCAATTTACATGTACTTGTCAGTTTCAACAGATTAGCATTAGATTAGCACTTCATCCAAACTCATGAAATTTATCAGAAATAAATTACAATACTTTACTTTGCAAAAAAAAATGAAAAGCAATTTCAAAGCTTTTAAAAAAAAATAAGTCTTATTTAAGTCAAAACAATTAAAATGACATGATCCAAATTCAGGTAAAGCCCTGTTGGTACAGTTAAGGAAAGGCTGTAGGTGAACCCTATTTAAAGTGCAAATCATAACTGGAGCTGTTTTGTGCATTTGTAAAAAAAAAAAAAAACCTTACCTGTTTGCCAAGTTCCCTTGTTGGTGCCAAAACCAACACCTAAAACAAATTAAGACATGCAAAGAAAGAGTATCAGTTATAAGTGCATACCCATGAGTAAAGCAGTGGTATAAAATTTAATAGAGTGCAGCTTTAGTTACTGTGCTACAGTTGATCCCTGATTCTCTTGTCTTCTTTTATCTGGACTTTTTTCAAAGGCACGTGCATGTATTTGAACCCATGCCATTATTACAGCTTCAAAGAGAGATAGAATCACTGCTGTAGCAGTTTGAAACAAAATGATTAATTTTATGTCAGCACTTTAAGTCATAAACGTTCTTGTCGTAAAATGATTGGTTTCCCATATATTTTTATTTTGGCAAGTGTTGACAGTGAAGCAGAATGATTAGAGAATGTGCTTTCATTCTTGCATATTCAGTTTTAATTTTTGGCTCACTAATATCCATATTTCAGATTATCCCGACTCTAAAGCATGCGGACCAATCTGTCCAGTCCCTCAGATTCTGGATAATCAAGGTTGGACTGTATTATAATTTATACAATAAAAGTTGTCCATGAAAGAGTCGTGACATTTACTGGCATTTAGAAAGGAACTGCACAGGCAGGGGTTGTAAAGATAGCCAGAAAGCAGGTAGACCAACCACATGTTATGTGCTGGCTGCCCTGTCATAGCTTTTACAGAAATGCCATCACACTCTTTACCCTTTCACTGCCAAGATCTCATTAGCAATTCTCCCATGAAGGGCTAACGCTTGAAACGCCAGCTTTTGTAATCGTTGCGGTGGCCAATTTACCATTTCAACTTTGTTGATATATCCAAATTAATTCTCCTTACTGTCTGCCATACAATTCTTGTTATACAAGTTTGGAGAAGTTGGTAGTGGATCAACTAATGATCCCGTAGTTGATATTAATTTTTTTCTATTCTTACTACTTGTCTACTTGATATTGTATTAATATTGTAAGCAGGGTTTGTACCCTTTTTCAGAAACAAATTTTAAGGACTTTTCCAGGACTTTTCCAGGCTCACATTGATTTTCCGAGGACTCCAAATTTCACATTTAGCTCTTTCATTTTTAAGATTTCAAAACCAATTTTCCTTACAGTCTACACACATTTTCCAGGACTTTCCAGTCCTGGAAAACGTCAAAATAAACCCCAGAACTTTCCAAGTTTTCCAGGACCCGTACAAACCCTGCGTAAGGAGAAATTCTCTATTGGAGTTAAAGGGTGTAGGAAAATGCTTCTGCAACAGTCAAGATCTTGCAAATTTGCTGGAGTGAACTTGCATCTCCCCTAGGCACATCAGGCCTGCCAGGCTTTCAAAACCACCTAAGTGCTGATCAAAACTTCCCACTTCTACCAAGTTTTAATGAAACCACTGTAAACTCAGTTTCTTCAGGAACTCTTTGTGTCCTCCCAGAGACTTCGTACATACCTTTGGAGCTTGTCGATAAGTTTCAGACTGCTTTTCCAACTTGAGTTTTTCAATCAAAGGTAATATAAAGGACAGCTGTAAAATAAAGAACTGATCACAAAATAGTTGAAACCAGAAAATTTAGCCTCAAGTATCCTGTATCCTTATGATTATTCCTTTTTTACCCAAATATCCTGTATCTCAATAACCCCTAACAGAGCCTCAATGTTGCCTGGTTTTATAAAATCGTCACTTATTTCTTGTAACATTGTTTGGAAGAAAGGAGGGGCTGCTTGCAAGTAACTAATTATGGATGACATGCAAGACTTCTGTTTATTATTATGTTGAGTGGAGGCTTCCTGACCACCTTGTGAGGGAAAGTGTGCTACATGTATCTACTTTAGTTTACTACTCATGGTGTGTCAAAATTTTAATCATTCAAATTTATATTTAATTTATCTTCTAGCATGTATGATTTTATCTTTGAAGATAGAAAATGTGGACACCCCATTAGAATCCTGCTGGTTGTAATTTTACAGTATTTGCACACCAGTCCATTGTGCTCACAATTAATGTTATGATAACAAGAAAAATTTCCACTTACTGTCTTCCCAGTGCCTGTCCCTATAAAAAATGAAAAAAAAAAAAACAAAAACAAAAGACAAAAAAATTATTTTTCAATGAGTCAAAAATTTTTCCTTTTAACATGTAACAAACTAATAATCAAAGCAATCAACCAAATTAACTAATGTAGAAAAAACTCAAAGCAAAATTGTGCCTTTGCTAAAGCTAGAGCTTCATTGTTCTTTCCATGCAAGTTACATGCTTGTGATTATCCCTAAGCCCTGCCTGCCAGTAAAATTTGCCAAATTAAAAAGTGGCGATAATGATGACTGCATTTTTGGCCAGTCATCGCTTTTTGAAATAAACCCACCTATTGAATTTCACTTGCATTTCTCAATTTTATTTTAGAAAGAAACAAAACTCATTAGATATCTTTTGACTTACTTGCTTGAGCAATCACATCTTCACCGTCAAATATGAAATCAAAAGTCTCACTTTGGATTGGAAAGAGATGAGTGATGTTCTTTGCTACAAATATAAATAGCATTGTCAGCCACAGGAAAATGTTTAATAGAGCACGTTTAAAACTATGCTTTTCAGTCGAATGGGGCATGACGGAAGACTGGCGACCATGTTTTGACCTTAAATTTGTGTTGTTGTCTCAGGGAACTTGCTCCTTTTCCAGTGACAACTGGATTTTTTTACCTTGTTTTCTAGGCTTTCACATTTCATAGTTGGCAGCTCATGGCTATGAACCCTTCAACTCCCAAGTTCTGATTGCTAATCCTCCCTTCTAGCTGCCATGCATTTCCTTGTAAATTTATTTAGATTTGAGAATTTGGTGTTAGATCAATATTGCAACTTCCACCTGATAGATTTGAGTATTCTCATTACCTGATTGTTGGATACTGTATAGATATCAAAGGGAGAAGTTTCAGGAGTTGAAGGGTGAAGGGTGGGTTAGTTCTGGAAACAACACTGTTATGTTACTGCCAAAACCAAAACTTTTACAAAACCTTACTCAACTGATAATTGTGGTAAAAATTAAGGATTGTTCTTTACCATAAAGACTGCCCAGCTGGCGCCAGGAGTAACCTTATTATCATTTATTTTTGCACGACTTTGATTTCGCGTATTTGGAATAAAAATATTTTGTGGGACTTAAAATTTGTCATTTTGATGAATCACCATTTTTCAAGGTAATTAAATTTCGCGAATCAAGTAACTGGTGCTCGTTTTTTAAACTTCCATTTCTGTATTTTATTTAACCATAACAGAATAAACCTCAAATGCAACAATGAACAATGTCAGCAACTTAGTCACATCTTTTGAAAGGGCTGATACAAGCAAGATGAGTCAGATGATGAAGAAAAAGGGCATGCATTGAACCGAAATTTGAGCCGTTCTACTCAATGTCAACTCCTAGCAGATGGAAAGCTCAAATAAAGGATTTTATAAAGGTCTCTAAATTTTGCGTCTTTAATTTTAGCGGCACCTTGTTTTTGGCGGGACTTTAATTTCCTGAATTTTTTTAAATCAGCAAAATTGTGAAAATTAAGTCTCATGAAAAGAAGTGATTATATGGTAGGAACACTACAACCAGTGAGATGCAACCTGTATTTTACCATGAATATGTTGTGACAAATTTTTAAAAATTCTGTCAATCAGAGTGATAAAATCAATCCCACCTTTCAGAAGCTCAACAGTTTCTTGGGATATTCTGAATTTTGAGAAGTCCCCTGATTCAAGCTCTTTTCTTTTTGAATCTTCTTCCTGAGAATTCAAAGCTAAAAATATTTAAAACCTATTGCAGCATACTAATAACTATTGAAATAAAATGTAATTGTGTAACATGCTACTTTCCTAAAATTTAGCCAATCAACTTGTTTTATTATTATTATTATTATTATTATTATTATTATTATTATTATTATTATTATTATTTTTTTTTTTTTTTTTTTTTTTTTTGGCTGTCCAACCGGCAATTAAAGCATTAGGAATAATAAAACCAATATTGAAGGACATCATTTATTGCCCCATTTTAATGATCACAAGACAAGAAGGCTTCAAATACTGTGTCAACAATTGCGAATGGTTGATTAAAAGAAAAGCATTGTTTATTTTCTGCCAATGTGGAAAACATGGAGTAGGCTCCCAATTACAAAGAACTACAACAAAGCCTGTTGGTACTATCAAATATTTTCAGAGGATTTCCGAGTTAAGTTAAACCCTAAAGACATTTCTGAGGTAAATAATCTTGAATCATTGTTTAATTATAAATTGACGAGGGACTCAAGTTTTCTCAAATTTTGCAATGTTTCTTTAGTTATGTAATTTTTCATGAATCCTACTAAAATTGCAATTTGAGGTCAATTTTGCAAACTGCAACATCAAAGAATATTAGAAACCCAGACCAAATAATCAGTAACATAAGTACCTTGACTCTAGGATGCAATACTGACAGTGCTCTTGGTAGCTGGTGACTAACTAGTGAAGGAGACCTGGGGAATAAGACACATGTATTTATTATGGACCATTTATTGCCACAAAGTCTCTTTAAATAGTTATGTAACTATACAGTGTACATGGTAAAAATTTAGCAGTTAGCCATCAGTCTGGCTCTCCTCCTGTAGTTTCATTGACATAAAAAACCAAAGACTAATATTCTTCTTTTAATGTATAAAAAGAATCTCAAGAATCTCCAAAAGTAACCCTGAGAAAGTGGACTTGTTTTGCATAATTACATGTAAATACAAAAT